AGTATAATGATCAGAATGGTGATAAGAATGGATGTTTCTTGCCTTCATCAATAATTTCCTGAAGAGACAAAACCAGTTTGGCTCAGTGGATAGAGCGTCAGCCTGTAGACTGAAAGGTCCTGGGTTTGATTCCGGTCAAGGGCATGTTCCTTGGTTGCGGGCACATCCCCAGTAGGGGGTGTGCAAGTGGCAGCTGATCGATGATTCTCTCTCATGGATGTTTCTAACTCTCTATCCCTCTCTCTTCCTCTCTGTAAAAAATCAATAAAATATATATTTTTTAAAAAGAACTTAAAAAATAAAAAATAATAATTTCCTGAAGAGTTATGTATCCATTTTTCATGAATCTAAACTTACTTTAAAATAATCCAAGGGTTTTTTTTCAAAATATGTATCACTAACCTTTTCATAAAGCCATGGGTTTTCCTTAAGAGGAAAAGTAAGTTCCTAATTATTCTGCTTTGGGGAATAGAAGCCTTCACTTATTACAAACGTTTAAGACATTGCTGCTGTATGGGGAATGATTAATACCACAATATTGTTTCACCAGTGGGAAACAGGGTTGGGGTCTCTCCCACTTCCCAGTCTATCAGCCTGAGTATGTAATCTCATACATGATGCACATTTGAGCACACTGGATCTACCTGAAATCAAAGAAATCTAATTAAATTGAAAGGTAACCACTTCTGGATTGGGGAAAAATGTCTTGCTGACCATTATGATCTTTTCAATAAGGCTTTAAAAGAGTAACATCTAATTTCATTATTCTTAAAAGAAATTATCCTTTACATATTTACATATACAGATATATACATGTGTGTATATATACACATACACCCACATAGGTAATGTTTTATGTGCACATTTCTGTGTGTGTGTGTGTGTGTGTGTGTGTGTGTACAAATGTTAAACTTTACCTGAGTCCCGTGCTCCTGGGAACAGGGATGGTTAAGAAACTCCCACTCTTTTGTGTTCTAGAATGTGGCTTACTGCAAAGTCCTCCATCCCCCATGACTTAGATAGACTCACGGAGGCCCCCAGTTACCAATGTCAAGGCCAGACACACACCTTTCAGAAATGATGGTGAACTGGGTAAAATACCTGCTTTCTTGCCTTGGCCAAACTTTAGTGAAGCTTCTTTCCTTCCTTTAAGCTCCTGAACTTGACCCCTCCCCCAGTATATAGCCCCTTCTCTTAAAGAAAAAATGATTTCATTGATTTTAGAGAGAGGAGGGGAGAGGAAGAGAGAGGGAGAATAAAAGCATCGATGTCAGAGAGAAAAAAGGGCCAAAGCCACACCACCTGGGCACGTGCCCTGACCTGGAACTGAACCGAAGACCTTTCGGTGCATGAGATGATGCTAAACCAACTGAGCCACAATGATCCTATAGCCCCTTCTAATGGCCTCCCAGGTTCATACCACCCAGCCCCCACTGCCCAGCCCTGGTCTTTTCTAGCTTATTTGATCCCCTGAGTAAAAAACAAAAACAAAAACCTTCCTGCCTGACCAAGGAGACACTTAGAGTTTATGGAAGGAGCAGTCTCCCTTCTGATTGCAATGGTCTCCTTCTCCATATTGCAGTGATCCTTTCGAATACAGTATCTGTTTGCCTGAATCTGGATTTGCTCTTCCTTGACAATGTACACAGCCCACATCCATTCAGAGACCCGAGCTCACACTCTGGTTTGTTTTAGAAGAAGGAAATTAGTTAATTGTATCACTTCTCCCGAGAGTGACAAGGCAAGTGGAGGAGCTCGTGTCTGAAAACCCCGATAGAGCTGGAAGACGCTAAAAGTGAAACGCTTCTATTATCCATGTCTTCTTTCGTCTTCCATCTGTAGAAAACAGTCAACACAGATAAAACATCCAACTCCCCTCCGCTGGAAACTCATCTTAGACTAAGACTCGGTGGGTAAGGAAAACATTTTCTTTAAAGAAAGTTTTCCTGTAAGAAAAGGAAGACCTTCTAGAACATCTCAAGTTGGCGCCAAGTCTCTGGTCTACAATAGCTATTCATTAAGATCCTGCCACGTGTGAATTGTTCAGCATCGTTAGAAAATGCTGCTTCCATCTGGAAAAGGAAGTGTACCTCCCAGAGACACTAAATTTAGTCGCAGAGATAAGTGGAGTGGTCTGTGCGCCCGTAATCATGTCGACAGCCTGGCTTTATCTCCGCCGAACTCCGGAGGCACAGCTGGGCTGCAGGCACCCAAGGCAGAAACCGGGACAGCGTGTGACCGGCCTGCTTATTGCTGAAAGCATTAACATTCCATCCCAACGTCCTGTATCGCTGGAGCAGGGCCGTTAGAAATAATGGGTTTTAGATTTGCAACTTGTTATTAAAGATGCATTAATTACACTTTTTTTTTAAGCATTTGCTTTTTTTTCTAGCGCTGATACAGCTATCATTTAATTCTCTCTCTGAATCTTTTCAACCTTACATCACAGAAATCGCTCACATTAGAAGCAACCTTCTAATGCCCTCCCTACCACTAGAATCTGCCCGATGGATTTTATGGGAACACATGTGGGATTTTATGGGGACGCGAACACTGCTACAGGTTATTTTCCAGAAGGCTGGTGATTACATCCACTTGTGATGAGCAGTATGACTCAGGACCAGATTTCCTATAGTAAGAAGTGAGCAGTGATGCTAATGATGGTAATGAAAGGAGTCAGGCCGGCGTTTGAGGACATCCCGGGCCAGGTCAAGGAGGGCCAGCACCTTTGTGGTGTTTTCTTCTCACGGTCATTTCCAGATTGTTTTGGCAACCACCCTCAAGTATCAAGATACAGGCAGGGTTTGGGATCCAGGACAGGCTGGATCCATTTGCTCTCTGCTCCACAGGCACTTCCTCGTGGCAAGCCTCCCTGACCCTCCCGATAGGTCAGACACATCAACTTTCTCAGAACACATGTAACTCCTCCCCTCCCCCCCCCCCTCCCCCCGCCCACTACCTTCCCCCCCCCCCCCCCCCCCCCCCCCGGCGCCACTCAGCACAGGCAAACCTTCAAGGACTGCCTCCCCCAAGGCACCACCAGCTCCCTGAGCCCAAGGGACCATGTTTTCATTCGCCAGGACCCCCAGGCACACAGTCTAGCCCCCGGCAGGAACTCAGGTCTTTGTTGAATGGGTGAGTACAAAGTCACACACACACAAAATTAATTTGCCAAGTTGGGGATTAGAAGAAGCCCCTGTGATAGTCCAGACCTCCTTATTTAGACGTGTTGGAAGGGAAATAAATAAAATCACCTTCTTGATATGGGAGAGAAAGCTATTATTCCACATTGATGAGCCAAACAAGAACGAGGTCCTAAAAACAGGGCTAGGAGCACCTTTTCTGACCCCGTGCCCAAGTACAGACATAGCCATCTGAACTATAAACCCCAGGAGTAGACCTATGCCTTCTAATTGTATATTCTCCACTTCCCAAGGCCTGACAGCATTTCTTTTGTGTATGAAGATAATGGCACTGACCTGTGAGGCTGAACCTGTTTTTCCTGAACTAACTCATCCGTTCTCTCACCTGCGACCTTCTGTGTGGTGATAAATGACAAGCACTGAAAGCAGCTGCTAACATTACAGGTAAGGCTGGAGCTTGCTGGGTTGAAGGAGACTGCACTGGCTGCCACCACAATCACACCCTCCATTTTGGCATCATTATTATTTTGCCCTTCCCACTTCTAATCACCAAATATTGCCAGCATGACAATGCCATAACTGCTTGCCAAAATTCACATATTATTTTAAAACTTACAGTAGGCAAAAATAGAGAAATTAAAAATCAAATGAGAATTTTAAAAAATGAATGTAGCCAGCCAGTGTTGCTCAGTGCTTCAGTAGCAACCTATGAACCAGGAGGTCTCTAGTTCGATTCCCAGTCAGGGCATATGCCCCAGTGTGAGCTCGGAGGAAAGGTCACGTAGTTGTCTCACGGAGGAAAGGAGAAATGAGCCCAACGACAGCCCTGAGTGCCTGTCACATATTAAGTGCTGAATAATCAATGGCCGTGATTTGATGTCTGTCGCCCCTTGTAGACTGGTCCTGAGGCTCAGATATTACTCTTTCTCAGTGACCAGCAGATTAACAAGCCACATAAATACATACCTGCGAAACTGAGAGCATTTACATCCGAGCTCACACTGGCATGATGCACTCCAGTGCTGTCATGAGCTCCTCCCTGCCTGTTAGACAAATGACACGCATCTCCCCAACCGCCACTCCTTGCCCCCAGAGTGTCAGGCCGGTATCTCTCTTGTTCTCCATGGATCTTCCATGCCTAGCATAGAGCCCATTATACTGTAGGGCTTATCTGCGAGTTGAATTTTTAATACACATTTCTGATATGTCTTACAGATCACCCAGCCCTTTCACATAAACACATGCCTCTCCCTGCACAGCAGGTTAGAGACACAGGCTCTGGAGCAGATCACCTGGGTTCAGACTCCAGTTACACCATTTACTAGCTGAGTGACCTTGGGCACGTTTTCAATGCCTCAGTTTTCTTACCTGTTAAATGGGAATAATAACAGTACCGGGTTGTTGTATTAACATGCCAATTCATATGAATCTTATAAAACAGCACCTGACACACAGTATGTATTCTTTAAATGTTGGCAATGATTAATTTTGTTTGTGCCTGTTTTTCTCCCATCACAATGTCAAAAACAAATTATGCCAGTATCATCTTTGCTTAAAACCTTGAAATTAATTTTCAGTGGAGCAGATCATAATCTCAAGAAAATGACTTCCAAAGCTATTTGCAAAAATAAACGTATTTACAAAGTCTGTTCTTAAAATAAACATGACTCTAGATATTCTAAAGCTTAAGGCTCTTCCAGTCACTTGCATTGGGTCCTTCTCCTGCAACATTTGGCAGGAGAAAGTACAGTGTATATATATAGGCGGGTGAAATCTGAAGATTTCTGGAGAGGAGGGGTTTCTGAATCTGCTTTTGTGGGTTATTATTTTTTTTCTTTTTTTTTCTTTCTTTCAATAAACAATATGGAATGCTTCACGAATTTGCGTGGCATCTTGCATAGGGACCAGGTTAATCTCTGTATCATTCCAAGTTTAGTGTATGTGCTGCTGAAGCGAGCACTGGCCTTCTTTTTTTCACAAACAAGAACAGCTGTAATGACTTGAACAGAAGTGTTATGAGAGCAAACACACACACACACACACACACACACACACACACACACCGGGCAAGAGAATTAGGTTGTGCTGTCCTCACAGCCCTATCAAGGCAGAGGCATGTCAATCCCAGCATGCATCTCTCCGTCACTTAGAGCATAACCTGGTGATTAGGCCATATGTTACCTAAACATGCAAATCACTGTATTTAACCACCCGTACTTCTCTACCTGCTGGAGAGATGGGGAGAGAAACAAAGGTAGGGGTACCTGGGCATTCGCTTACCTTCAGCACTGTGATGTTCCACGCAAAGCTCTCAGTGGCCTTGTTGAGTTTTCTTCCTTTCAAGCCTTCTTTTGCCCCCAGATTATGAAGTTCCTCGTGGAACTCCATCCCTTTGAACAGAGAACATTTAAGAATTCTTAGCATATATTGAAGAAAAATAGGCATTTTATGAAAATATTATCAATAAAAATATAATTTCCCATTCCTGTCTTTCTCTTATAATCTCTAAATCCGTAACTTAAACACACCTTCTCAATTTGTTCATCCCCATCAAATGGCTATTCTTAGGGGGAAACCAACAATAATCAATGCATTAGACTAAATTACATTTTAAAGAGCCAGAATCCATAGATAAAAAGCAAATTCTTCCAACAGGTTACATCCGTCTTACTTGTCCTCTGCCTGGTTTTCATATGAAATGGAGTAATGCGTCAATGGCAACCGTATGTGATGAATGCAAATACCTTTCTTTTCCTATGAACCCTACGGCTTGACAGCAGACCCTGGAGCCCATCTCTATAACAATGGTAATTAATAAATGTGGAGTGAAAATAAAAAGATTTTTTAAAGATAACATTCCTGGAAACACCCAAATGTTTCAGATTTGGGAATGACTTGAAAGTGACTTTTAGCTCAACCATTCTCCCATGCTTGAATACTATCAAAAACAGCACCAGGATCAACTGTTCATTCAGCCTCTGTCTCAGAGCTTCAGGGACAGGGATCATCCTTTCTCTGGGCAGCTCATTCCATCTTTGAATAGCTCTGACCAATAGCCAGCCACAGGCTCTCCTCCCTGGAATTTCTATTCATTCCTTGGTGCTACCTAGACCCAGACCAATAAGGTCTGCTCTCGTTTCCTCAGAGAAGCCCTTTAAACATTTTAAGAAAGACAGTAAAGTCCACTCAAGTCTTCTCTTCTCCAGATGAGACATTCTGACTGAGCGTACTAACAATGTATTTGGTTGAAGGACGAGCTTCAGGCAGGGCCCCTGCGGTGCATAACTTCCCAGAGGGAAGCTGGCAGAGACCTGCAACCAGGAACATCCATCTAAGTGGCCTGGAAGCAGCCCTCTCGAGGTAGGGATGACCCACCCTCCTTGCTCCAGCTGCTCTGCCTTGACAAATGCAGCTGCCACCACAGTAACTTTCCTGGTGCTCACATCTCCAACAGCGCATGGTCAGAGCATGACTGTGGAGCCAAGGCTGACAACAGCTCCACCACTTACCAGGTCTGTGAGCAAGAGTGAGTCTCTGAAACTCCACGAGTCAGTTTCCTTGTTGGTAAAATGGAGACAACAGGAAGGTTTACTGCAAGTGATTGTGTGGAAGATTAAATGAGTCACTACATCTAAAGCTCTCAAAGAAGTGTGTGGCACATAGGGGCATTATATAACAAGTATTTGGTAATATTATTTTTGTGCCTCCTGTTGACTGAAACATAAAAGCCTGCTGGTCAGTCAGTGTAGAGCATCATTTTTATTTTATTTTTAATTTTTTAAATTTATCTTTATTGTTGAGAGTATTATAGATATACCACACTTACCCCCTTTGCTCCCTGCCACCTGGCTCCTACCTCACCCCAGGCTATGGGTGTCCATGGGCTATGCTCATATGCATATAAGTTCTCTGGTTAAAGTATGGTCTGGGTTCAAAGCTCAGTTCTAGCACATTTTAATATGGAATCTTGGGTAATTCACTCAACCTCTCAGAATCTCAGATGTCTCATCTGTAGTTTGGACATAATGATGATTACCTTGCATATATGTTATAAGGACTAAGTGACATAATGGCGTGATTAGTATATCATATGCATATATATTAAGCAACTGTCATTATTGCCATCATCCTCATCATAATCATTATTGTTTGTGTGAACCAAGGAGACATGGGTCCAAGAAAAAATGAAAGTATAGGCTTTGGGTAAAGAGAAACATAATTAGAGGCATCCCCTCACAGATAGGAGGCCCATCTCATCCTTAAAGAAAGAACGTTCTAAAATAAGGACAAGTAATTGAAGTAAAAGCCTAGATTAAAAGGATTATGTTTCCAATTGTAAAATGAAGTGGTTCTTACGAGGCAGTGTGGACCCACAACTTCATATCAGTAGGAAAAGGTTTTGATAGGTTCCAAACCCACAAAAGCAGATTCAGAAACCCCCTCCACTCCAGAAATCTTCAGATTTCACCCGCCTATATATACACTGTACTAAACAAAGACTTAAGTGTAACTCAGAGGATAAACTGGAGAGTGAGGGGTGAGGGATAATATAGGCAAACAATTCATTGTAATTTAAGATAGAAAAAAGTTAAAGCCAGAAAATATTTGACTTTTAGAAGTAAGAACACAAATTTAAAAAAAAAAAAATCTGCCAAGAATGATCAGGATGAATTCTAGACAGAATAGAGGCGGGAGGGTGGGTGAGAGTGGGCGGCAATTACCTGCTTTCTGGCACTGCACAATCTTTTCCTGGACTGTGTCAGCCATTTCTATGAGAAACCGGCTCTCCTGAATCATCTGTCACAAAACAAACATCAGAAAGGTGGTGGTCAGAAATCCTTACACTGGCTCATTGGAAAGAGTGCACACAGAGACCTGCATGATATGGCCAGCAACGAGGAACCACGGCCTTAACCCCAAGAAATGGGAGAGGGAAGTATAACCTCTGCTCCAACTCTCACCCATCTAACACCACAGCTAGAGTCACCTACCTTGATTGCTCTAGTTATGCCACCTGCCTCTCCCACAATGGATGTCAAACAAGTAACCGTGGAATAAATGCATGCACATTCTTTAAGCCTCAGATGGCATCCAGAAACACCTCTTATCCCACTCCCTCATCCCAACGGTTACTACAACATCAAGGCAAGTGGCATTGAAACAGCAGCAATGGGAATCAGAACAGGGAATCACTTAGTGATGAGCTCAAGGACTGCTGAGCATGTAGATGAAGTTGTCAGCGTGGATTTGGCCGAGGTCTGGCTGTCCGTCGAGAAGGGCTCTGACTCCATTGGCAATAATGAGAAGTGGGTCAGGTCTCAGAGCCAGCAGCTCAACAGATCTTGAGGTACCAACACTGAAATGGTTGTCCCTGCCCTCCATATTTGGGCAGAAAGCAAATATGGCTAAGAGTTAAATAATATACTGAGTGAAGTAGGGGAAATAAGACGACTGTTAGAGAGATAAAAAAGATGGGGGAAGATGATAGTAGGTAAAAAATTGACCAGAAAGACAAGGGACTGAGGCCCTTTTGAAGAAATGATTAAAGAAAGTCAACCAATAGGCAAACTAAGAGTTTCTGAATTTCCAGCCACTCTTCTATTCTCAATAAATGTTGTCCCATTCCATGTTTATTTGTCTGGCTCAATATTCCGAACGGAGTTAGTTCAAAGTAGAATTCAAAGTGGATATGAAAGGTCTTGAGTAAGACATTTTTCATGTAAAATGCTGTAGAACAGTCTTATATAATCACTTCCAAATATAAAGTGGTTTCTGATTACAAATTTTCAAATAAAAGAAATACTCCTTTATCTTGATTTTGTTCTAAATAGAGAATGTACAATAGCATTCTCTGCTTAAAAAAAAAACACAAAAAAAAACAACAACAACAACAAACCACTATTGATTTGTTGATCATTTTTCTTTTGAGGATTTTACTAAGTGTCTTCTCAGTATTAAGAATGAAAAGAATATACTCCCAGCATCCAAAAACTCTCTGTAACAACCTAAGAACAAGTGTCCTCTTCTTTCAGTCCCACCTCTGCCCTGCTTCTCTCAGGAACCCATTCCTAATGACTTCTTTTTTACCTACAATCTCTGCCTCTCCCGTGGCTTATTCCCTTTTCTCATGGTCAAATCCCAGTGGCCCAAAGCTCATTTCAATACCCCTATCCCATCAGTGCCCTGATTCTCCCTTCTCTCCTTTTACCTCCAAATTCCCAGTACATTTTTTTTTTAGTCTGCTCACAATTTTTTTCTATCTTACATTACAATTAATTGTTTACCTCTCTTACTTTCCACCCTCCACTTCTCCAGTGAATTGTAATTCCAGTAGAGCAGGGAACTAGCCTTATGCATCTTTATATACCCAGATTCACCTATGCATTTACATAATCACCTTTTTTCTATCTTACTTTGTAATACTAATTTCTTTACACATCTATTACCCACACATGCATGCACAATAAAATAGTTTATTTATCACTTTCAAATCCATAATTATATTTTTGAATTCTAATCTCTTTTTTTGTGTCTAATTTTTTATTCCAGGCTTCTCCATTGTTCTATAATCTTACATGCTCTCCATTCCCATTCATCTTAAATACTGAAAAATAAGTATAAAGCTTTCAACAGAGTCATTCCTATGGAAGATATAACACTCAATATCAAAAAATAAATTTTTTAAAAGTTACTACTTATTTGAGGTAAAATGAAGTCAGGACCAGAACATGATTCCAGTTCTCTTCAAAGTCCCCAAGTATTTGTTAACCCCACATTGTAAGAAGTTTGTTTTTCCTGATGTCTATCAGATCATTTCATAAAGAGCTAGTCAGTGGGATTTATTAACACAAAAGAGCATCCCTGTGACATTCCCTAAGGAAAAACAGAAATCCCTCAGTAAGAGTCACACATTTCATTCTAAAATACCTCACCACTAATATTGTCAGCATTTAACATTTT